ACCAATCCCAGAAAAGTTAGGGCCATTGATTCAACCATAGTCCAGTTCACCATTGATAAAGTGAAACTATATAAACATAGTCATTGTTTGGAGAGAACAAAAAGTCACAGACATTCAACCTAGTCTGCTTCAGGGGGGGTTGGTATATTGTAAAAGAGTGAAGTTTATTTATAGACTATTTGCAGAGCTGATGAACAAAGCCAGGATTATTATGTAAGTGTGGAAAAACACTCACTCATACACATGCATACATACCAGAAAATGGGCTAATCTAAATTCGGGACCATAAATACTTTAGATCACTTATCTGTGTATAAACTCTTCCCACCCTTTTTCAACATTTATATCAGGAAGGTTTCTACAACTGGCAGAAACCTACAGTAGCTTGTCAGTCTTCAAAGCCAACTTCCTTCTCCTTTCCAACTGCAGCTAAAGTATTTCAAGATGAAGTCATTGAGTTGTCCCTCTCTCGCTCCCTCCTCCTCCCCCAGGTAAATGATCTCTTCCAACCTCACCTACCTGGGCCTGCATTGCACCTGCCTGCCTCAACTTGCCCTAAGAGGTTTGCGGTCTCTTGTAGGGAGGGATTATGTATTGATAATTGAACTCCTTTGCAGGTTTTCAATAACGTTCTAACTCATTTTGCTACCTCTCTTTCTGATCCTTCAGCACCTCCCAAGAATGGATAGTCAAGAATATTTTTCCAAGTAAGGCACTTTATCTGAAGGAATCTGCCCCCTTTCCCACCGCCTCCCATTTCCCCCTTGGTAAAAAAAATAATGTAATTGTCTTGCCCAGATTAGCAGATGCTTGTTCTGCCACATGTTCCATCTTTGGTCTGGATCACAATATCTTACCAGCCAGCATAAGCCATCTTAGTGCTGTTGAAACATAAAAGAGGTGACAGCAGAGGTGGTATTCAGCAGGTCAGAGGAGAACCGGTAGCGGAAATTTTGAGTAGTTTGGAGAACCGGCAAATGCCACCACTGATTGGCCCTGCCCCCAACTATTCTCTGCCTCCTGAGTCCCAGCTGATCAGCTGGGTCTTCTTTGGTTGCCCTGCAGAGGAGAAAGGAGCTGGAAAGCAGGTTAGTGGGGTGGGGAGGGAATGGAGAATTTACAGTATCCTTCCCCTGCCATGCCCACCAAGCCACGCCCACAGGACTGGTAGTAAAAATTTTTGAATCCCTCCACTGGGTGACAGCCTACTACACGTGGAGATTGCCAGCAGGCCATCTCTAGATATTTTGGCATCCTAGGCAAAATCATATTCTGGCGCCCCCTTTGATCTGGTTCTGATTTTGTTAAGAATTTCAACATGGCAGCCTCTTGTTTCTTTGTTCCTTCAAGTTTTTGAGTTTACAGATTTTTGAGCTCCAATGTTTTCAGCCCTGTACAACATTTTTTTTATCGTTTTCTCAGACATTTTCACCCTATTTACATAGTAAATAATTGTAATTACATCAACACTTATTGTTAACGTATGGCAAAAATTCTGCAAGTAGGTAAACTCTTCGAGCAGGTAAACTCGTTCATGGAAGGTGCTGTTACTGCTGCTTTGTTTTTCTATAGTGTTTTTGGCAGTATTTTGGTGCCCCCTAAAATTTTTTAGCTTCGGTATATAGTCTGCCTTAGCCTAGAGCTGGCCCTTGGCATCATGTGGGCATATAAGGGCAACTCAGAAGAGAAGGCATGGTTCCAAGCTGCCATTGCATTGCCTGGAAGACGTTATAGTAGCCATTATCCACCACAAAAGCCTCTCCTCACTTCTATAATTCCCAGCAACCATGGAGAGGACAAATTGAGGATGATTGGAATTGCAGTACAATTCATCTAGATGGTCCTTCAAGGAGAGAAGCGACTTAGAACTAAGGAGAAATTTCCTGACACTTAGAACAATTAATCAGTAGAACAACTTGCCTTCAGAAGTTGTAAATTCTCCAACACTGGAGGTTTTTAAGAAGAAATTGGATAATGATTTGTCTGAAGTGGTGTAGAGTTTCCTGCCTAAGCAGGGGGTTGGACTAGAAGACCTCCAAGGTCCCTTCCAACTCTGTTATTCTATTCTATTCTGTTCCTTGTTTGGAATAAGCATTGAAGAGTTTATTGGCCTATCAGTTTAGGAGATCTCAATTCAATTCCCCATTTGGCACATTCTCATCTTACTCCACCTCTTGGAATTGCTGTGAGAACTTAAATGGGATTAAATTGACCAATTTTCATGAAAAATCCTCTTGTTTAATTTTTTTTTTTTGGTTTAAACGTAAGGGGAAAACTTCTTAATAGTGAGATTCACAAAAGAGGGAAAGATTGTACTTTATGAATGCTGAAGATTCTCCATCCCTAGAGTAGAGCCACCATTCCAACACGGTTCAATTTGTTTTCCCGTATTTTCAGAGAGTGATCCTGGATGAGCCTTCAATGATCCAGTGAAATTGTTGTGGTTCACCGGCAGCCTGTGCAGACGGCAGCGGAATCGGACAGTGGGGAAGAACGGGGATCAGTCCAGGCATCTGGAGAGGACTTGGATGAGGGTCCTGTGTCTGATGCAGAGATGGGGCCAGGATCACCTGGGAGTGGGGTCCTGCCTGCGGAGTCTCCGGAGTCTGGCAGCAGTGAGGCAGAGGACCCAGGGGAGTCTGTTCCCAGTGCATGTGTGTGCAGAGCTGCTAGAAGGTGAGAGCAGCTGAAACAAAAGGGGTGACTCGGGAGTAAGGCTGGGAGGTGATTGCCCCTCCCATAAGGACAGGCAAAGATGACGAAACCTTTTCAGGAAGCAAAGTCGTTAGTTCGTTTCAGATTCATTCTTGAAGCTCTTTTGGTTAGTTTTTGTTCTAGTTTTTTGACACTTCTGTTATTGGTAGCAGGTGGGTGCTTATCTTGAGAGACTATCGGTTCTCCAGAATTGGTCAGAACCTACTTTATACCACCTCTGCTGTGGGCCTTCAGTTTGACACCCCTGTTCTAGCTGAACGAAGTATGCATTTTAACACTGACTCGTGATTTTATTTGTTGATCAAATCCATGGTAGACCATAGATAATTCTCCTTCATGATGAATGCCAGAGTAATCAGCTTGGCCATTGCCCAACTGAGACAAAGCCTAGAGAAATCTTGCATCACTTTACATTTTTCTTACAAGGTTTTGTGAGACATGTATGCAACGTGTGTGCCTAGCGCTCTCTCTCTCTCTCTCTCTCTCTCTCTCTCTCTCTCTCTCTCTTTGGCATCTTTCTGATTTCCTAATGTAAATTGCTCATTTCATCCCCTTCCCCCAAGATCTGCCACTTGCCCACTAGCGATTTACTCTTCTTTGTCCTTTCAGACCACAAGATGGCTGGCATTTTGCAGAGGTCTCTTTCTCTCTCTCTCTGGCTTCCCTTCCCTTCCCTGAATCACCAACAGAGGAATTTCTTATCGTGGTTATTAAAAGGGCAATGGCTTTGTGAAATACTGGATCCTCAACCTTGACCCTGTGTAGAGGAAACAAGAAGTGTGGGTGAGATCCCAACCCTTGGTGGAAGGGTGCAGTGTTTGCAAATGATGCAACAACAAAAACAACAACGGGATTTCTGATGATGGCAGGCTGGCCTTCACACCCTGAAGACTTGACAGATAAAGCTGGTAAGTGCTTAAAAGTGTGGAACAGCCAACGTGGTTTAACCAAATAGTCACAGGGAGAATCTAAGTGAGATATGGGCAAGTTGGTTTAAATTTGCAAATGTAAGCAGAATGCATGCAGGAGACCTCATTAAGCAGTTCATGCAGCAACCCTGGTACCGTTTATCAGCCTACCTCAACAGGCAGTGCTAGGATGAAACAGAAAGGAGACAGGAGTTGCTAGGATGAAACAGAAAGGAGACAGGAGTATATTTATCATCTCAAGGACTTTGAGAAGGTGCCAGTTAGGCCCTCATAGGACCTTTAGAAGATGATTTGAAGGGATGAGGCTGCCCCCTGGGGACCAAACTGGGTAGGACATTAGACCCCATGCATGGATTTCCTCCCTTACATTTCTCTTCACAATTGTAGATGCATTTTTTTTTCTTGGAACGTTTAATCCCCAAATGCTAAATGCTGACATATTCATGAGGGAAATGGGAAATGGCACCTTATATCTCAATATATATTAGCCTTCCTTCCTTCCTTCCTTCCTTCCTTCCTTCCTTCCTTCCCAACAGGTGTGCATACCCTATATAAGCAGAGGCAGGTATGTCGATTTGTGGAGTTGATTGCTAGGAAGAAAGAACAAATAATGGTTGACTGGTTTGTGGTGCTCTAAACTCAGAGAACTGGGCTCATTGAGTAAATCATGGTTAGAGAAATGGTTAGTAGGCTGTAGGAATAACAAAGCACCCAGGCTGAATTCTGGTGCAGGAAGGGCGCATCTTACCAACCACCGAACCACTCATGGGAACGAGAACTTGCCTTTCTTGAGTACTAAACCTTTTCTTTCCAACCCAAATTCTCCCGAACTTGGGAGTTCTCCAAAATGTTGGGCGGAAACTCCCTCACACCTCCAGTCAGCGGGGCTAAGGATGATGGAACTGCGCTCCAAATCCAGGCTACGAGTCAGCCAGGGCGGAGATCGCTGATCACCCCCCCCGCCCTCACTGCTTCGAAGTCCGGCCACATCCAGCCATGCAGCCTTCGGGTCGCTTCTTGTAGGAACCCGAAGTTAGCCCGGAGGACGGGGCGGGATGAACGCCTCGAGTGCTGCGGGACAGTCGCTGGGAAGGAGGGCGCGACTTGGTCGCAGCCAGGCAAGAAAAAGCGACGGCGGCAACGGCTGCAAAGCGACGGGACGATTGGTTGGCTCGGTGCCCCCTTGGCTCGCCAACCGAAGGGCGCCCCCGTCCCACGCAGGGAGGCGAGGTGAGAGGCGTGCCCACGGGCGGCTGTGACGCGCGGTCGGGCAGGGTTATAAAACACCTGCAGCGAAGACCTGGGACCTCAGAAGCGTCTCTGGGCGGCTTTGGGGAGGGAAAAAGGGAAGCAAACTTGTCCGCCTCTTAAACGGATTAAGCTTAGCCACGATGGTAAACTGCCGGTCCTGTTTCTTTTCTTTTGCAGTCGCCCTTTGTGTCCTGCTGCCAGAAGGTGAGAGAACCGTCAGGATGTTTTTCTTTTAAAGCATAACAATTTTGGGGCTCTGCTTTGTGCCTGTTTTAAATCCTGCTGTTTAAAAAAAGAAAACAAAAAAAAAACGCATTTTGCTTGGGAAGGAGCCTTAGCTTTTGACTCCCTCCTTAGTTCTTTCAGCCAGGTGCCAATCACCAGCTCCATCCTCCGAAGATCCCTGCAACGGGACCAAATTTTGCTTTCTGCTTCTAGTTAAATGACTCCAGGCTGGAGGAAGCAGTGAAATTTGACTTTGCAGTGAATGCATTTCCAGGGTTTTCTGATTTTACTCCTAGCACAAATCCCAACGATAAAACCTTTTCTCTCCTTTTCCTTCTCTCTGGTTTGTTATTTCTTCTTCTTTTTTTAAGGGAAAAAAAAAAAAGACTTGGCTTTTGTTTGCAGCGTTCTCAAAGGAATAATAATGATTTTAAAAAGAGTCTTAGTCCTATTTGTAGCATGTTGCCCACGCTTGAGATGATTGTGGATGAATTTAGAAAGGAAAGAAGCCAAACACCTAACCATTACCGCCCTCTAGCCATGCTCTGTCAGTTCATGAGGGTGCTGATCTCATTTGCCAATGAATGTGCCTCTTGACTGATAAACGTGAGGCATTGCAAACACGGGCCATACAGCTAAGCGGGACGTCCATGATGACTTTCAGCATCTTGGTTTCTTGCTGAGCAATGCTGAAAGTGCCGCGGGGATCTGTAAACACCTTGAGTGAATAAAAAACCACAACTTTTATGATCTTGCAATCTCAGGCGTTAACTAAAGCTGCGGCTGCCATAAAACTGTTAAGCTGGAAACCTAGAGGGCAGGTTAATCACTGTTTACATACCAGAATGCGTTCCTGGCTCTTCCCAGCCAGAGCTGTGATTTGATTCATCTTCTCTGTTCCCCCCTCCCTTTTCCTTTTCCCTCTGGATGTATGAACAGGCCAGGCTGCAGCAGAATCCGATCTCCTGGCAAACAACAGTCGGCACCAAAGGACCAAGAGATGTTCTTGCACCAGCTGGATGGACAAGGAGTGCATCTATTTCTGCCACCTTGGCATCATCTGGATCAACACACCAAGGCAAGTGAAGCTCTTAGGGGTTTGAAAGAATCCAGAGGGTCCCTTTTGCTTGGTATAGCAAAAGCCCACCTTTTCATGCAGAACATTCGAGTTCCAATCTCTGGCATATCTAAGTTGGTTGAAGAAAACACACTTTGTCTGAGCCGTGGTGGCACACATTGCTTAGAATGCAGTATTGAAGGCTAATTCTGCCGACTGCCAGCAGTTCAATTCTAACCTGCTGCCGACTGCCAGCAGTTCAATTCCTTCTGAGGTGGGTCAAATGAGGACCCAGATTGTTGGGGGAAATACCCTGACCCTGTAAACTGCTTGGAGAGGGCTGTAAAAGCACTATGAAGCTGTATATACATCTAAGTGCTATTGCTATTCTCTGAAGCCTTGCAGTGGCTCACACTGCCCGTCAGTGTCCCCAGACTTCTGTCTGATTACACAGTAAATTTATCCTACAAAATCCATGAGGATGACTAGACTAGCTACAAAGAAGTTAGCATGTAATCTGGGACAGCGTGTACACTGGGGGGAAAAACCCATTCTCTGCTCTCTCTCTTTTTTGCAAATAACACTCTGAAGCACTCTTCAGCTTCTTACCCTATCTTGGCTTTGGGTGATAGCGAAAATATAAATGTTTCAAAGGGGCTGATTGGTATTATCATACAATTATCAAGAAGGTGTTGGCCACTTGCACGGTATGGCAAGATCCCAGCAGCTCTCAGTCTCTCCTGAGTGGCTTAGGATCCAGGCCAAACAGGCTACACTTGCGGTGTAGGTGTGGTTCGAGTTATGCCTGCTAATCTGCAACATTGTGTAACAATTCAGTGAGGAAGGTGGATGTCATTCTCTCCAGTTTTATTTTATTTTATTTATTTTTACGAAGGGGAAAGGCTGGGAGATGAGATGGACAAGCACTACGGGGGTTAGTTCTCCAAAATTGCAAAGTTTATAAGAGTTTCTTCATTTCTTTTTAAGCAAATGAGCTTCTTAAAGTCCAGATGTAGTCCAACTGCCTTTAAAGTGTCATCTATTCTTGGTTTGAGTCCAAGGATCCAGTGCAAGGGAAATTGCACTGGGTTTTCTGCCCTAATGTGAGATAAAGGTTTATTTGCCAAACAATGAACCACAATTTGCAAATCTCTTCAGCGGAGTTTCTACATCAGACTTGTTCAAGGCCAATTGAATACCACTATGGTTAGCACATCTGGATCAAGAAGATTGCCTCCTTCACAGTGACTGCAGAGATATCTAGCTATTGTTCCATTTCCTTGACTACTGACCAACCTATATCATCAACGACTTTCCAATCAGCCATGGAGATTAACTTGATTGTTGTTTTCTTCTTTCACAATTAGCCACTCTGTACCCTATGGGCTAGGAAGTCTTCCTACACGACACAAGAGGTCCCTCCGCAGATGTGCGTGCTCACATTTCAAGGATAACTTCTGTACAACGTTTTGTCATGGCAATCCTCAGTAAGTAGGCTAAGAAGCAATAATATATCCCTAATCCTAACCCTGATATATACAAGAAAGAGCTAATGGTTCTTGGGAGACTGATAGAGGGAACTCTATATACATGGGATAAAAAATTTCCCTGAATTAGCTTGTGATTAAATTGTCCCACTTCAGCAAGTATGTCCATATATTCACTCATTATGCCAAACATCCAGTGGTGGGATTCAATTTTTTCTACTGCCAGTTCTGTGGGCATGGCTGGATGGGCGTGGCAGGGGAAGGATACTGTAAAATCTCCAGTCAGAGGTGGGATTTGACGGTTCTCCGAATTACTCAAAATTTCCACTACCGGTTCTCCAGAACTGGTCAGAACCTGCTGATTACTCTGCAAACATCCCAAAGTACTTAGAAACATCAAACCAAGTTGAACTTCGCTCAATCGGCTCATTTGGCAAAGGTGTAGTCATAATCCAGTCCAGGGTTCAAAGGACACAAATTCCATACCAGGAATCAAAGTTCATAGGAGAAACCAAGAAGGCAACGTTACTTCCAAGCAATGTAAATCCAGGTATTGGATGGATATACACCAAGAGGCTGGCATCAAAGCTATTCCAGCCTTGGAGTAGGCTCAGGAGACTTAAATAGTGAGACCTTCTGTCCATCATGCAGGTAGAGTTGGGGCTGCACACTACTAACAGGCTACTTAGAGTAGTGACTTACTCTCTAGCAGGCCCAGATTTCATGGAGCTCCTCCAAGCAAATTAGCACCCTCCTATTTGTATTGCAATGGGTGGTAAACTGGGTGACCATGTCTCTATTCCATGGTCAGAATCTACCGGTCTCTGTTTCCTCCATGTCTCCATTGTATGGAGAAGAATGGGACAGAATCCATGTTGTTGATCAGCTCCTGATCTCCTTCTGAGAAGGTCATCTCAATAAGCCAATAAAAGCTCACAATGGCTGGGATGTACAGCATTCTCAGCCGAACTGAAATAAAGCCCATTGTAACAACTGTGTGTGAACTTTGCCACTAACAAAGCTGCCCCATGGAAGTCATCATAGATACTTGGTGGAAACCACAAAAGCATCTCTTTTATTACTATGTCACTTGCCTCCTGATGCATTCTCTGTGACGCCTGTGGATTAAATGGAAATCTCCTTTTTAAAAAACACAATAGAGTAGAATATTTTGAATTTAAGAGGGCTATTCTTTATAATCTCTTCTTTAGGTCTCTTGATCAGGCACACACATATTCTCTATATCCATACCCTCTGAGAATGATAGCTAGGGCAATCCAAAACAGTGAAGAGCGTGCAGTTGCCTATTCCTACATTAAATTGTTGAACATACATATTTTTCTTGAGAAATCCAAATCTCTAGTGCCACTTTGTTCCTTTAGGCACCCAGCTAAGTCTTATGAAGAAAACGCTTTTATTGAATATATAGTATATAACAATACAGTAACAGGAATGGCAATGTAGTAAAAAAATGTCCTTTAGTCTTTTTACTATTATGATCATTAAACTGGATACTTAGAAAATCTTGCATAAGTAAATCCAAGCTATAAACTTTTCTAAGAATTGGATCCTCCCTTTGTTAAACACACACACACACACACACACACACACACACAAAGAGGAAGAGAAGAGAAAGTTTGCAGAGTAAAATCAAAGCTTTTTTAAAAAGCAACTTACATGTTTAAGAAATATTAATGCCTTCTCTCTTTCTCTTTATTTTGCCATTCTCTCTTATGGCACTAACCTTGGCCTTTTCTTTTTTTTTCTAGAAATCCCCCCAAAATGCAGCCGCCCAAGGACACAGGAATATTGGCAAAGCTTCGTCGGAGCAGAAATCCCAAGCTTGACAAGTTGAACTTTGGAAAGTTTTCCGGTAAGAAGTCTACTTGTGAGCCTTTTTATATTCACATTGTGTAATGATTTTGCTGCGTATCCAGTCCCAATTGGGCAAACATAAAGATCTGCAAAATGCTTTGGACCAGAGTTTTAAAAGTCATTGCTCACACTCCTCTTCAAGTTTTGGAAATGGAGAAGTCTTTTTGCTAATTCAAAAATGGCTAATTCAGAAATCCATCTCTATCTAATCTAGAATATCTGTTTTAACAGAATAACAGAGCTGGAAAGGTGCTCGGACGTCTTCTGCTCAAGCAGGAGATTCTATACCATTTCAGACAAAAGGTTGTCCAATCTTTGGAAAAGCACATCCCCTTTGCTAATAAACTCATTTCCCCATTGACTTAATGAGGCCTTTCTAATGTAGAAATTTCTCCTAAAAGAGTAGGGAAACTATTGACAACATGCTGCTGGGAACTTAGCCACTCTTGGCAAATTTTCCAAATCAGGTCACTGCTTAAGTCATAATATGATTTTCTGGGGGTTCACTGGTCTTCACAATTATATTTACTTGCATGGGTTTAGGAAGTTGTGTGTTGCTTCTCCTAGACTGCTGAGCTCCCCAAAGTTAAATATAATCTTCAGGAAATATTGATGGGGTATAAGTATAATGCTGACTATTTATTTGATTGTATCATTCACAGGTTCTTACGCTTTCCGGAACTGAATTTACCAGAAGGCTTTTTCCAAGATATCAAAGTCTTCCATGGGAAAAGAGTTTTCTGAAGAAAAAGGGATCAGCAGAAAACTGAAGGATGCTCCTTGTCTTAGTTGATGGAGTCCTCCATTTCCAAAGATGCTCCTCTGCTAAGGAGTCAAAGGAGAGAACACATAACACTGATGGAGAAGAAAGAAAAGTCTACATAAAGCTGCGGCTGGGATGAACAAGGAGCACCATTGCCAATGGAACACTTCCCCTGTTACTCCAAAGATGATGACAAAGAAGGTATTGGAAGAAATCTCACCATTTTTCTCCTGCTCCTTGATGATGCATCTCCTCCTGTGCCTCTTTGTTGGGTGAAGTTTATCCATAGGAGTCCCAGAAAAATGTCCAGGTGGATAGCTGGCAATCTATGCATCCAGAAGAATTTTGGGGAAACACAATATATACAGCCCCGATGTAACAGTGCAAATTTCCTTCCCAGCCACATCCCTGGAACTTGCTTGTGCTATTTTAGCATTTGATTTTAGAGGTCATTTGCTTGTGGGGAATCAAACAGCTCCCTCCAATACTGTCCTGTCCGAATTCTTCTTTATTTTCCTGTCAATTCAGGTAATCCTCAACAGTGGTGGCGTTCAAAAAATTTTATTACCAGTTCTGTAGACGTGGCTTAGTGAGTGTGGCTTGGTGGGCATGGCAGGGGAAGGATATTGTAAAAACCCACTCCCTCCCCAGCCCACTAACCTGCTTTCCAGCTCCGTTCTCCTGTGCAGGGCAACCAAAAAAGACCCAGCCAATCAGCTGGAACTCGGAAGGCAGATAATAGATGGGGGCGGGGCCAGTCAGAAGTGGGATTTGCTGGTTCTCCGAACTACTCAAAATTTCTGCTACCGGTTCTCCAGAACCTGTCAGAACTGGCTGAATACCATCTCTGATCCTCAACTTAAAACCACAACTGAGCCCCAAATTTATGTTGCTAAAAGAGAAATGTATTTAGGTTTGCCCCATTTTACCATTTTTCTTGCCATTATTGCTAAGCAAATCACTGCAATTGTTAAATTAGTAATACGGTTGTTAAGTGATTCTGGTTTCCCATTGACTTTGCTTATCAGAAGGTTGCAAAAGGTGATCACATGACCCCAGGACACTGCAAATGTCATAAACGTGAGTTGTCAAACATCCGAATGTAGATCATGTGACCATGGGGATGCTTCAATGGTCATAAGTGTGCAAAATGGTCATAAGTCACTTTTTTTCAGTGCCATAACTTCAAACGTTTGTTGTTCAAACGTTGTTTGAAGTCGAGGACTACCTGCCCCCTATCTGGGGATGAGGCAGATGCAACCTTCTTTTGGGTATCCCTTTCTCCCAAGCCCCCCAAAATAAAACGGGAAGCTAAAGTGTAGTAGTCCTTATTTAAAATGTCATTAGGGATCAAGAATAGTTCAACCCATTAATTGCTACAACTCCACTTAAGAATCTGGGCATCGTCCCCATATTTTTGTATTATAACAAAAATCCATCCAAGATGGTTCACACATGCTCTACGCAGACTTTTTTTTTTTTTTAGGAATTCAGGAAATCAGGAAATAAGCATTTCATCTCATTTTCATCGAAGGGAATTCCTTCCTTGTCTAAAACACAGGGCACTTTAACTCTTTTCCTTATGAAAGGTAGCTTCGGTTATAACCCACAATGTCCAAAGAAACATGGTTTGGTGGGATGTGCAATCTAGCCAAGAAACTCTTATCCCAGCTTGTTTCCATGGTAATTGTGGTTTAAAATTCTCTCTCTGCATAGCTCTTTAAAAACATTATGTTTGTCTTGCATATGACTGCTTAGAGCACAACATATTTTTCTAAAATCCAAGCGGGTCTTCTTTTACTTTTGCACTTGTGCAGATTTCGTTTCAGTCTCAAAAAAAAAAAAAATCTGCTTCCTTGCACAAAAATGAGTAAAAGGGCCTCATTTTGTACAGTCCTAGATTTATGCAACCAAAGATGTTATGGAAAAGGAAACTTTACCTGCCATCTTCCTCTGTTCAGATTTGCGTGCACCTGCTGTATGTAGCATTCCAGTGCTTGACTACACGTGTAGATTTATGTAGATATATTTATTTTTTTCAAACGTTTTTTTACTATGAAATACAAACTTTTATTTGTAAAAAAAGTAAAAAAAATATATCCCAAACCAGGTTTTCTGTCTTTCTGATTTGGGGGCACGAGAGGGGATTCCATAAATGGAGGTGTTTTTAAGAGAGGATGTTTCTTTAGCTGCATTACACAATAACCATATAAACGGATATACCTTTGAACGGTTATGTTCACACATCCTAATTGTTCCAGCCCTACAGAGTAGTCCAGAGAAGAAGCACAACCAGGACTGGTTAGCTCTTATCTTTATTGCAAAGTCACATTAACAGAATCTTGGAAGGGTGAAAGTATTTATCTCCTCTTTTCCTTTTAACTTTCCAGAAAATGAGGGAGGGTCTCTCCTGAAAAGTATCCCACATGTTCCCTCTTTCTGAGCCGAAATATCTTTTACAAGAGTCTGTGACTCTTGCCTTCTGTCTCCCAAGGCCATGTCCAGGAACTATGGCAATGACATTCTGTTGAAAATAAAGTTGGATAATTTGTGATTGCTGAGTGTGCTATGAGAAAACCAGACTTTGACCTAGAATGTTGTCTGCATCAGGCCATTAAATTAAACCATAACGTAGCTTATTTGCTTAGGCATGGCATGAACACGGTGATTATATTTGCTAACCTGGGTTAGAATTTAGTGTGGTATGCAACTTGATCAACAGAGACTCTTTAATTTCACTATCCATTTCTGATTTATGAATCCATTTCATCCTCAATCCCCATGGGCTCTAGGCAGTTTGCAGATATTGCAAGAGCAGCAATAATAAATAATCAATGTTAAAATGTTGATAGCAAAAGTATCTCTTATCTTGAACTCAGCTTGGTTAGCTCCCTAAAGACTAACATTAACTAAGGCCTTGAATGAGATGACATTTCATTTTGCTGTTTACAAACCCTGGGGATTTCTTTTTTGGTACAAACCCAACCAGTGTTTATCAACCAGCCATTAAAGAAATGGGACCAGAAGGGCAATTTCCAGAATGACCTTTAACTTTCCCCTAATTAACCGACTCCTTCTTCTTAATACACAATTAATAGTCTATTTCAAACAGGTCATAAAGACTTTGGCATCACTAATAAAACGTTGTTCACTAATCGGGTGAATCAATCTGAAATTAATATTTTCTTTGGTAGTAATGAGCCTCATAAAAAATCAGATTGGAAAAGGGTGGGGAGAACGTTATTAGCTTCAAATGCCAAACATACAAGCCAGTTACCTGCAGTCCAGCCACCTGGGCTTGCTGGGTATCTTGAACGCAGCCTCTTGAAGAAGGATGTGCAGCACTGGGAATGAGTTAACCACTGAACAAACAGACCTCTTTACTATAGCTATAAAGTGTATTCTGGGTATAAACCAATAACATTCAGGAAAGCTTTGGAAAATCTCCTGAGTCATGTTCTTATACTTATTTAGTGATAAGGTAATGTGTGTGTATGTTGAGGACAGAGAAAGAGAGAAAGAGAAAGAAAGAAAAAGAGAGATGGTGGGTTTTCCTGTTTTCTATTAACAGATTTAATAGATTAACAGAGTGGGAAGGGACCTTGCAGGTCTTCTAGTCCAACCCCCTACCCAAGCAGAAGACCCTACACAATTTCTAACAAATGGCAGCCCAGTCTCTTCTTGAAAGCTTCCAGGGATGAAGTTCCCACAACTTCTGTTCCATCAGTTGATTGCTCTCACTGTTAGAAAATTTCTCCTTACTTCTAGGTTGAATTTCTCCTTGATCAGTTTCTTAATTCCTTGTTTGCCTTTTGTGTGCTTTGGAAAATAGCTTGAAACCCCACCTCGTCTCTGTGGCAGCCCCTCAAATATTGGAAAACTGCTATCATGTCACCCCTGGACCTTCTCTTCACTAGACTAGCCAAGCCCAGTTCCTGCAACCGTTCATTGTATATTTTAGCCTCCAGGCCCCTAATCATCTTGATTGCTCTTCTCTGCACTCTTTCTAGAATCTCAACAACTTTTTATATACTGTGTTGATGGTGACCAAAGCTGGATGCAGTACTCTGTGGTCTTACTAAAGCTTTATAGAGTGATATTAGTACCTCACTTGATCTTAATTGTATCCCTCTGTTAATGCACCTTAGGATTGCATTGGCTTTTTTGGCTGCCACCACACACTGTTGGCTCATATTTAATTGAGTATCCACGAAGACTCCAAGATCCCTCTCACAGAGGATTACATGTTAATCTCTTTGGCAGTCTGCAACCATCTCATGGTTGAATTCCAAGGAAAGGTACGACAAAAGCCTCAGACCTTTTTTTCAGATTAGGAAGTTCAAGAGCAAATTTCGGTGAGGTAGACGTCTATGGAGATTCTCAATCAACCAAGTCATGGTTAAAAAAACCCCGTCTTTCAGCATGATAGATTTCTACTCTGAGAAAAAGAATCCAAGCCCACTAATTCAAGCCCAGTAGTTGAGACAAACTTTCACATTTCTCTTGGTGCTGATTTCAATCTTATTTTACTACAGGGAGTTTCTGTTACTCATCCTTCCTTCACTCTGAAGCTCCCTTGAGTGCTTTTTTTTTTACTATAGAAAATTTTATTGAATAAACAGTTGAACACAGTGCGACTTTCCTGGCAGTTATTTTGCCATACATGCTATAACACAAAACAATAACAATTGATATGACAATTGATCTCTTCCTTATTTTACATTACCAAGTTGGTCCTATTTACATACATATTTTCCTATTTACAACATAATTTCCTTGCACGTTCTTTTTACATAGCCATTGTTTCCACTATATTACATTGTCTTGAGTTTAAAAATCTTCTACCTTCAGTCTTATAAAGCCTCACAATTTGATTTTTTTTGTTCCGACTTCCTTTCTTCGAGTCTAACCATTGGTACATTTTGTTCCAGACTTCATAATACTCTGTCTCACCCTTATCTTTAATTTCTAATGTTAGCCTGTCCATCTCTTCCCTTGTGTGCTTTGTTCCCCAACATTAAAAACAAAAAACTCATAGGGGAAATTTCCTCATGGTGACTTCCCTGGAATATGAAGGACTAGGGGTGACATGGTAGCAGTGTTCCAGTATCTCAGGGGCTGCTAAAAGGATGAGGAGGTCAATCTACTTTTCAAAGCACCTGAAGGCAAGACGAGAAGCAATGGATGAAAACCAATCAAGGAGAGAAGCAACCTAGAACTAAGCAGAAATTTCCTGACAGTTAGAACAATTAATCAGTGGAACAACTTGCCTCC